GAGAGAGAGAGAGAGAGAGAGAGAGAGAGAGAGAGAGAGAGAGAGAGAGAGAGAAGAGCGACACCAGACTTGTAATTTTGTTCCTGTTGTAGATGGAGATGTAAACTTTTCTTTATGCCTCCAGGTGGGCAGGTAGAAATCTGTTTGTAAACAGTGGCGTCCTGTGGCACTTTCAGATAACACTTTTCACATGTAGTCAGCAGACACCTTTTTGGCTGCCAGAAATCAGTCTGACAGTTGGATGGAGCATGGCAAGTGGGGTTTTCATTTTTAACTTCTTGGGCTGAGGCTGCTACTGTGGGTCCTCCAAAAGCATCTTCTGGTGTCCCATTTGCAGAACAGCATTCCTGAATCTATAGCGGAGTTCTGGCTTTTCTGATCTGAATGTATAACTTCAGTTTGGCAAAACACCATCTATCAGGGGAGGACTTTTGCTTGCCCTATAATGTCTCTTCTGTAAGATGGCAAAACAAATTAGATTCTGGATTACTCTGGATAAGGGGGTGCTGGAAATCACCGGTTGAGGGTTTGACCTGACTCTCCGAGCTGATGACTCCTGAAGCCACAGTGGAGAGCGCACCAGCTTTCCCGCTATGCCTTATCTCACCCGCACATGCCCCGGTAGATGAGATCATCTACGTGGGACTGATTTCATTTATAACACAGAGCAAAAAGTAGAAAATCTAACTGGCTGCTGCTTTCCCGATCTTGGTTCAGGAGAGAGGGCTTTAATGCCAAACACAACATCCCAGAGCTTCGGTTCATTGCAGATTCCCGTTTGGGATCCATTGAGTATTTCCCTGGCCACTGAATGGGTTCCGCCAACTGAAATTTGGGTGGAATTTTGGTCTACTGTAGGGGGCTCCATAAATCAGGGAGAAAACAAGGAACCTTGAGTATTTGCATGCTCCTTACTCTCAGAATCCCAAGGGAGAGAAGGAGCCAGGGAACCAGGCCTTATTTGCTCTTATTTCTTCTGTCCTCTCTAGAGAAGAGATGGTTAGAAGCCTTGCACCCTACCCCCCCCCTGCCTTTTTTTTTTTTTCAAGTGGTGATTTCCCACCTAAAAGGAGCTAAGTAAATCTGGCTCACTGCAGCCAAGGTCACAGAGTTCCCATTTTGTAAATTGCTCAAGGAATTGGGGCGGGGGGGGGGTGCTACTTAATATTTTCAGGGTCTCAAGTAACCCAGCCAATCGTTACCTTGAACGAATGCTTGTCGAAGCCTATGTGTTTGACATTTGAAGTTTCTAACAGGTCTTATTTTTGCAGTTCCTGACCACCACGGCTTTAAGAATATCCTTGACCCAGGAGGGAGCCTCATTGCTTTAAGACTTGCCGGGTAAGGATCATCGCTTTGTAGCTTGTTGAAACTTGTGTCTGTCTGTGCGTCTGTGGGGGGAGTCCAGGCTGTCTTCTTTGGGTTTGTGCTGAGTAAAGAGTCTTCCTAGGTTCTCCCTTTTACTCTGAGGGTGGGGGGGGGGCTGCAGAGAAACTTCCAGACTCCAAGGTCTCCGGGAGGGCGAAGGGGTTCCAGGTCTGCTGGGTGGGGTGTAACACGCAGCACGAAGACGTGCTCCTGAGGCTCAGAAAGGGGCAAAGTCCTCCAAGGGCGACTTCTTTCTCTCTGGAGTGACACCCTGAGTCCCTGCTCGTTCACCAGCTGGTAACCTGGAGTCAGAGCTGGTGACCTGGTGAGGCTGCTGTAAGCCAGGTGACCCCACGTGAGCACCACCTGGGTGCCATCCTGTCCCCAACGCTCACCCTGTGATTTGGTGGGCTGGCCCAGTCTGGGAGGAAACCTTGTTGCACCTCCGTGTTTATCATCTCAATCAGACGCAAGATCACACTCAGCGATGGAGCAGATTCCCACCATAGAGGCCGGTAACAGCTTAAAATCAAATGTGGCAGGAGGGGCGGTGCATGGACTCAATGCCTTCCGTGACCCCCTGTGAGGCTGCCCCTGATATCTCTGTAAACTCACCCTCAGATCTAATTAGCGGAGCCCACCTTCTCCTGACCATGCATCTCTGAGGTCACTCCATAAACCAGGGAAATTGATAGTGGAATTATGCACTCAGAAATTAATTTTATATTGTACCGAATATATATTTTTTTTATTGTGACTTTATCTTGTTGGAAAAGTGCTTACTTCTGATTTTGTGGATATTACTGACCGAGGATTACTTTTATTTTGGTTTTTACACAACAGTTATATTAGAAATTTGCTGTTTTATTCTTACCTTCTTAGTAAAAATCCTTTTATCACACAATGGGTAATTTATATCCATTACCAGGCCTTTCAATCCTTTTCAGTGGGGCTGTCAGTGCCGTTGGCACAGTAATGATTAATGTGATCTAATAATAGTGTGCCATTATATTACCTTAGTAAAACATGTACCAACATCCTATTCGGATCTACCAAATTCATAGCTTCCTATAATATTTTTGTTGAAAGACAGGATTACTATTTTTCAAAGCTGATTTTTTCCCCTTTAACATATTTAATGAAATTCACAATTCTTTGCCTTAGTAATCCCAGGCATGTGATTGGGCTTGATGGGTGAATTCTACATTTGTAGGCACCATTGTGATTTGTCAAACAGAAGACCTGACAGTCCCAGTGATCTGCCATGGAGATTATTTTGTTTTTGTTGGTCCAGGGTTATTTTGCCTTGAATTAAAAAAAAAAAAAAAAAAAAAAAGCTGAATTTCCAGGCCCTTCAGACTTATAATAAAGAAGGTGCATCTTAGATCAAAAGGCAGAAGAGGAAGTCATTTGGCTCCAAGTTGCTTTTCTTTCCTCAATCTGTTTTGTCCTTTTTTCGGTCACCTGCCTCAGTTTGGTGGCACACTGGTGGGGTGGCAGAGACGGGGAAGCAGTGTCTTACCACTTTCTCAGCAATTTCTCCATCCATAGCTTTGGGCTAGCCTGTCCGGGTCTGACACGGGCTTCTCCATCAGCATTGGCTCTATTGATATTTGGGGCTGGATAATTCTTTGGTGTGGGAAGCTGTCACGTGTATGGTAGGAGATTTAGCAGCATCCCTGGCCTTTACTCATGAGAGGCCAGGGGCACACCCCTTTCCGCCCACTGTGACACCCTGTGCATCTCCAGGAATCCCCAAGTATCCCCTGCGGAGGGGACCCAATCAGCCCTTTTGAGAGAACTGTTGGTCTAAGGTGACACAGGCACAGCAGGCACGTTGGGGCGTTTGGGGTCTTCCCGTCACAGCTGCTGAGTTTCATGGTGCTTCTTGAACATCTTTGGGAGAGAGGGCGGGCGGATGACCGCACACACTGTTTCCTTTTCTTGGCTGAAACACGGTCCTCTTCTTTCTCCCTCCTCTTCTGCCACAGAGCCTGGCCCGAGTGAGGTCCTGGATCTTCGCTTCTTCCACTTAAATCCCATTATAGTCACGCTCATGATTGATAACATTCCACCTTTTCAAAGGGCTTTAAAATCTGTGTCAACCAAGGATGACATTATTGTAGAGCAGGAGAGATGTATTCAAACCATTACACACTCCAGTCAAAGTGGGGAGGTTTGTCCTTCTG